GCCGGGGGGGGTTCGGCGCGGGCGGGAGGAAGGCAGGAACCAGCCGAAGGGGTGTGCGAGGGGAACAAAAGCCTTGGCAGGCCTTGGCAGGTGGTGCTTGGCTCTGAATTTTGACTCGGGTGGGATATGTAGGCTCTTTTACGGAAACTAGGCTCTAAGGTGGTTGTTTTTTTGGTGGAAGTATTGGCGTCTGTTCATAGAGGGATGTATCGAGGAGGAGGCTTATGGGAGTGGGACACAAAATCTCTCAGACCCTTGAATATAAAGGCTGGTCTAGCTTTAATGTCAGCTTAATTATTATTTTTTTTTAATTTGGCTGCATTTTTTTTTTCCCCGTCAATAGGATCTATATGATAATCACGGGAGACCTTGAAGGTTAAGTCTTTGACGGAAATTGTTGGCTATCTGTAGCATGTGTAGTTTTGTAAATCTTATCTCAATGCTTGCTTTCTTCTCAGTGCACCTGTGATCATCTTTTTTTGACTCATATATGTAGATTTTATTTTTATATGGGAAATGAAGCCAGCTTTGCAGCTTTTGTTAATGATAGAAAAAAGAGAAACTTAGCTCAGTTTTCTAATGTATAATTTGTTTCCTGGAATACAGTGATATAGAATTAGTTGTGGTGTTTTCTCTTCATGGTCTTGGAAATACGTGGGAGAGTAACATTATTATTCTTTGCAGCTCTGTTAACATGAAGATGGAGGACTATGAAATATTCTGTAAGAAACATCTTTCCAGAATCCAAGAAGAGGCAATAAAAAGAGAAACCTCTTTCACTGTTCAGCACAAAACTATCTCCCTCATTCAATTCCATGGAGTTCCTGTGCTTTCCCCTCTGGTAAGACTTTTTTTTCTTTCTTTCCTTTTCTTTCCTGGTGTGCTAACTGCTATTGGCACTAGCTTTGATGTCCACATGTGATGATTCTACTGAAGGTACAGCTTTGTGTGAAGCATCATCTGGCCTGCTGCTTAGTGTACTCTAAGCATTCCTAGCCTTAATTTTACAAAGTAAAGGGGTAAAATGTACTTTTTTTCCACATAGACTACATTAGATTTAATTTCCTGAAATGTTATCTTCACAAGGGGAGTAAAATTATTTGTGGTATTAAATAGGTTAACGTTATTGCTGGTCTTAACCATGTAAAATCATATTGACATTCCAAATATTCAACATGCAAGTTTAAGTGTCAGAAAAGAAGTCCAAGCAGGCAATACTGAGATCGTTAAAAAGCTTTTAAGTGAATTTTGCATGCATTTGCAGCTTCCTCTCATGTATTTCACAGGCTCATCAGTTATGTTAAGTCATTCTATGTTTAATGCAAACAGAGCCAAGCAGAAGACTGTTGGTAGTTTATGCAATAATGCAGCTGACTTCCTTGTTTCAGTGATGGGAATTATGAATGGAGACACTCTCTAAGAACAATGTCCAAGAATCATGATACAAATATACGTTGGAGACTAAATTGTATATTCTAATATTTTTCATTTACAAATGGGTGGATATTTTAAGGTTTTGTGGAAGAAATGCATAATTTGACGAGACTAATTTTGTAGAACTCTGTGAAACTCATTTTTGTAGATGTGGGTTTGTAGATCTAGTTTTCACTTTTATCCAAACTGCATATTCTTAAGTAGTAACTCGGAAGGTTTTCAGGTTCTGATTGCTGAAAGGATCCAGAAGACTGCTTGCATACATTTCTGTCTTGTTGTGAAATTCATCTCTGTTTCAAGAGGGCAAGTGCAAACTAGTCCTTCATAGAGCTTAATAGTTTGAGTATGGGTAGGAAGATGGGTCACGGAGGGCTGCCCAGGATGCCCAAACCTCCCGTCTCCATAGAGGACTTGGAAAGACCTGTCTTGTGGTCTGAGTCCTGTGTCATTTGGAGTCCGTACTGTAACATGTAATGTTCATGCAAATTTTTTATAAATGATCTTTTAAATTCATGTTCATTTGCATGTGTGCCAAGAAGGCATTTTGTGCAAGATCTTCCATTAAAAAAGTATAACTGGTTAAAAAGAAGCTGGTGTTTAAAGTGTGCACAAAGTCTCAACTTAGGTGATTGTTATTCTTCTGTTGTTTTGTTCATTTGTTTTTCTTCTAATTTATTTCTGTAATTCTGTATTGAAATGTGCATTTAGTGATATAAACCATGTTTCTTACACTCTGTTTTGCAGCTTAGCCTTGAAAAGAAAAAGGAAATACAGCAATATAAACAGAAAGCGCTGGACCTAGAGACCTGGAAACAGAACTCCCGGAAAAGAGTTTTGTTGAATTGTGTACAGGAGATTCTAGAAAATGTTCAGGTAGTGTTAGTCCAAAGCCTCCTTACAGCATTACAGAAAACTTCTGCTTATAGACATTTTAAGAAAGTGCTGAGGTTTAATTGTTCACCAATATAAACATGAAATTAATAGCAGTTAGCTCTCTAGAACCAGTGTTGGCTGGTATTTCATGCTACATGACTTGATAATTGGTAATTTAGTGATAATATCTATGTTCATTGTAATGCACAGGACTTGCTTTTCCTGGCTTATTTTGGTATATGCAAAAGACAGACCACACCAGATGACTGACTGTTGCTTTTGTAACTGTGTTTTGAAACAACTGGATTATAAAAACAAATGAACACAATGCCTGGTTTTAGAGCTTGCTTTATTTGCGAACTTATAGTTTAATCAGAAAATAATCTATATTCGACCTTACAATTACAGAATTAAAATCACCTTCACAATAACTTGTAATTCTGTGTGTGCTTTATAATTTTACTGCAATTATTTTGTTTTCTTTGCTGCTTCAATGAGGAATTTAGTAGAGATTTAAATTGAAAAGAGTATTAAATACAATCAAGTGGTATTATTTGTCTTTAAAACAGTTGTAATACAGTGTTTAAATTAACCTGTTGCTTAAACAAGTACAGTTAGTATTGAATTTGTTGAGTTACTAAGGTGGCAGACAAAACCTATTAGTTTGCATTGTTTACTGGAGTGTAGATGGCAACAGTTGTCTAGCTTGGAATTTGAAGAGCAGACCAGGAACATATATTCAATGCAAAAATGTTAGCCTTTTTTTTTTCCCCAAAAAAAGTGTCCCCTTGGTAACCGAGTTGCAACACATAGGATAACCTATAAGATAATTTTACTGTGAAAATCCTTTTAAACAGATGCTGGCTGGAAGAAGCATTTAATTCTCACTTAAATAAAGTTGGTTTTCCAAGTACTGAACAAATGAAAACTTGTATTTAATTGTCTTTGGATTAGTAAAGAAATAAACAAATAATTTTATAGTTCCACTATTTTTATTAAGAGTTTCGTTGATTTGTTCTTAGTTGTCTATAGATCACTATATTTCATGCTGAAATTTTTCAATTAAATTTCTTATTTAATGTAAACATTTTCATATTTTAAGAGGAATCTTGCAGGATAATTTGGAGCCATAAAATTATTTGAATATATCTAGATTACCTTATGAAGAAAAGGCTTTTCATTCAGATACTAAGTATGTGAAAATGCTGAGTGTACCATTATTCAAACTTATATTTTAATTTCAATAATCTCTCATTCCTAAGAGCTCTGTATTGTAAGTAATTTGTAGGAAATTGGTAACAGTTGAACTGAAAATTTTTACTGGTTTTAAGGTACTAGCATTCTTTTTAATTCAGGTGAAGCTTGGAGGAATCTGGAAATCTGAGGAGATTTCACTGAAAATACATGACTTTTTACAATTTTTATTTGCAGATCAGGAAAGGAGCTAGTGTGAGTGATGTGAACGCATGGGAGACTGAGAATACTTGTTCTGAATCCGATTCAAAAGCTTCAACTGACTTCACAGCTCTGTCGGATGTCAATTTGGCATGTTCTCCTGAAAGGCATGGTCCCACGGAGCTTGAAAAGACACCAGAAGTTAATCCAGCAGATACTACTGGGCAGGTGACATCAAATGTGACTGAAGTAGTTAAAGCAGCAGAAGAAAATGTTCTTTCAAAGCAAAGTGAGGGTCACTTCTCAAAAGATGTACCTTGTCCAAGGGCTACGTCTCCTGACAACGTGCATCATAGGCTTGTGTCACAGGCTTTGCAAAAGCAGGAGGGACTAGGAGGGCCACTGTCAGATGAGGAAGTCCAAGACCCGTATGTAATGAGTCTTCAGAACCTGATGAAGAAATCTAGGGAGTATATAGAGAAGGAGCAAACCAAACGTAGCTCAAAAAGTAATTCAAAGAGAAGTATGAGTGAAAGTCATTCAGATAAAGAGAATGATGGCGTTAAAACAACTGACTCTGTGAAAGAAAGAGTAAAGTTTACAGGCAGAAGTTGCACCGCTCTGATGCTTGATAAGCCCAGTCTTAATAAATCAAACACCCTTCTCCAAGGTGCTTCTACTCACACCAATAACACAAGTGTGTCAACTTTATCCAGTTTTTCTAAAGTGGACATACCTATGAGAGTTGGAACACCCCCACTGGTGGATTCGGATTCGGATGAAGAATTTAAAAAGACTTCTATGTTTGATCGTGACAGTAGCATTGTCAGGAGCCTCACAGGCTCTTACGCCAAATTGCCAAGCCCAGAGCCGAGCATGAGCCCTAAAATGCACCGAAGGCGCCCAAGACCTTTATCAATGGGCCACATCGTTATAAATAACCCTGTGAATGCTTACGAGTTAAGTCCTAAAGGCAAGGGTAGAGCGATGGATTTAATCATGCAAGATATTGCTGATAAAAATAACGTTTCTGAATCAGTGCCAAAGTTCATGGTGGACTTCACTATGGTTTGTCCTAGCAGAGTTCCTGGTGTCAACAGGAATTCTTCAGGCCCTTGTGATGGTTTGGGGGTTGGCAAACCGAATCGCCATTCCTTTGGGCACTTCGAAAGCAAAGGAACGTTGTCGGCTACAGTGGAAGGACAGGTAGTGATGGACAGCAGAGGGCCGTATAAAGTAGAGACTAGTACTAATATTGTAGCTCCAAAATTGAATGAGCCTTTTGCCATCAGTCAGTCTACGGTATCACAGAAGCTCCTAGCTGTGAATGAAACAAAACCATCAAGTTTGCTAGAAAATACTAAATGTAATTCTCCAGTAGAACTCAATAAGTCTTACGATGTAGAAAATCCATCCCCACTCCTAATGCAGACGAAGAATGTGCGACAGCAGATGGACACTCCAAGTGTTTCCCCAGCAAAAGAGCAGCTTCTAGAAAATAGTTTTGAAAAGGTAAAACGTAGACTTGATTTAGACACTGACAACTGCCAAAAAGAAAACGGTCCCTGTGCTCTAACAGCTGGAATGGAAGAACAAGAGAAGCAGTGGTTGCAAGAACAGAAATATCCTGTGGGATCCATTTACATTACCAAGAATACAGCGCCTGACAGTATGGCAAAAGGTAAAAGATTTCCTGTAGTAGAAAACTTACTTCTCAGTTTATAAATCTTTTAGAAAAGAACCCAATGATCATTAGTCATTGTTGTTTCTAAGTATGTACATATATCAAAAGCCTGAAATTTTATTGAGTGTAAATTATCTTTTTTCAGTAACCTCATTCCTCTAATTTTTAATTAATGACAAATTCTAAAATTCAGGTTGCTACTTGAGCTGTTTTTAACTGCTACAGAATGGAGAAATTGTGGTCTTAGGAGTCTCTTGGAGTCAGAAGTCTTAGTTATTTGTAACAAATACTTGATTAAACAGTTTATGTGGAAACATCACCTAAACCATGTATCAGTTTTGTGAGTTATGTATTTATGCTCAAAGATATCATTTGACAGCACAAATATTAATTTCCCATTTGAATGTAGAAATTGGAACTTAGTTTTACTAAGAAAATTGTGTCTAATTCCATGAGGTCTCAATAAGACTACTAAAAGAAAAGATAGTCTGTAAATTAAAAGAAAATACCTTTTAATGGGTTGCAAATCACTATATAGGTATTTTCTTTGAATTCCAGGCTGTGTTACATCTTTATGTGCCTCTACCAAATCAAGTTGAAGTGGCATAAATAATTTTAATTCACTCAAGCAAGTGTGGATATACTACTCTTAGAGCTAGATTTTTTTGTGTCCTTCCGTATTTTAATGTAGGCTCAGTTGGTGTTACTGCTGTTCCATTCACGTGCTTATCCCACAGATACGAACATGCAAATATTTTGAAGGACAGTAGTAACTGATGAGGTTCTTCGTGATACATAGTGGAAACCTGATATCAAAGATATGTAGCATCTTTTTACTGGTGATGCAAATTACTCCTGTTAAAAGCATGTATGTTTGTGGCAAAGATCATACAGAAATTATTTAATACTTGATTCTTTGTAATGTATCTTCTCAGAAGATATTTTAAAAACTAAAATGTTGGCCTTTGAAGAAATGAGGAAGAGACTTGAAGAGCAGCATGCACAGCAACTGTCGATTCTGATAGCTGAACAAGAGAGAGAACAGGAGAAATTACAGAAGGTAAGGTAGAACAGGAAAAATTCTAAGCAAAGGGCATGTGTGTTGTATTGCAGTTTGTCAGGAAGTAGTTGGTTTTAAAATGTATATTCTGTTGCTTTGCAGAATTAGAAAAATAAATCTCATAGTTGATTCTTTCTTTTGTAGGAACTGGAAGAGCAGGAGAGAAAGTTGAAAGGAAAGAAGGTTGCTACAACTGAAATAGAAATTTCCAAAGTGAATATTAACAGTAGGATGGAGTTGGAGTGGAGGAAAAAAAGTGAAAGTGGCTTGCTGGAAAGTGTGCAGTCTCAGCTGGAGACGGTCCAGAACACAAACTCTACCAGCATCGGTAAAACTGAGAGGGTAGAACATAGATTAAATGATGTGATATGTTTTGCTCTCCAGTGTTTGACCGGACCAGCTGCCCCACTGTATTGATAAATGAAGTGTTCCTGCCCCAAGGCACTTGCTGGTCAGGATATGCAGACAGCTGCTGCCTTCAGCTGTTGACAGCATATGTACAACAAAGCCTGTGTTGCATCTTTGTCTAGCTGGCATTCAGCACAGTTTCAGTCACCCTTGTACTGTTCCATGTATTGCATTTGTTATATAATTGTTATAGGGTATATTCGAGGAAAACAAGCTAAGAATAACCTCATCTGATGAAGGATGAGGATGTGGGTTTGCATCGTGTCACAGAAGGTTCATCCTCATGCCAGGTAGCGGCACAGCAGTGGGCCAGGAGTTCTCCTTTGTGTAGGAGGATTAAAGAGGCTCTGCCAAGGGCTCTTGACTGCAAGGACATACAGCTGTAGCTGATGGAACACCTCTCCCCTGTTCCAGAACATTATGAAACGTTTTGGTTTGACTTCTGTTTAGCAAATTTTGCTATGAAATGAATCAGAAATATGCAGATTGCTTCTTGCCTATAAGTGACCTTGTAAACAAAGCTGCTACCTCTGAACTGAGTGTATATGCACACAGAGTCATTACTTTAGGGACAAAAGTGTGTGGTGAACTTCACATTCTGCTTTGCATGCAGGTTTTGCTCATACTGCAACACCTAATACCTTTGCTTCAACAAGTGAAACTTCATTCTTTCTCTGGGGACCGTCAGGAACTGGAGTTATAAAAACCTCAGTATCTAGGCCAAGTAACAGGATCAAAACTAGGTGGACTCAGGTAAGGAAAAAAAAGATTTATTTATAGCTTATAAAGCTTTCTGGTTTCTTTAAGACACTGGTAACTTTGTAATAGCTGTGCAGCAATAAATCTCACAGCGAAGTTTAGTATCCCTTCTTATAATGACTTCAGTTACATGAGGGAACTATATAGGAAATTTTTCTCATTGCACATATGCGCTAAATAATCACATAACAACATATTGCTTCTGCTAAGTTAATATTATGGTGGATACTTCTGGCCTGGACAAAACCTTTAACAACAGCTGTTTCTTACTTGAAAACTTATGTCACATGATTGATGTTATTTGAGAAATAATTCATAATTCTTGCTTTTTTTAATCAAATGTTTAGAAAATGCTTCTTTTCTTTTAAGGTTTTCAGTCCAGAGATACAAATGAAGTTTGATAAGATCACTGCGGTGGCAAAGGGGTTTCTCACTCGTAGACTCCTGCAGACAGAAAAACTGAAACATCTTAAGCAAACTGTAAAAGTACGATCAACATTTTTATATTATGCAGCTTCTCTTCCTATTTGTTTTTATTCCTACCTTCAATTGACAGATGAAATCATGCATTTTTTGCTTTCAGAAGAGTTTGGGAATGTCTGTCATGTGAGCATGTTTGTGTGTTGCATTGCTCAGTGTCATAAGGTCCAAGTCAACCAAGAATAGATGTCCTATGCATACAGTTTGTAACGATTGCTTTGTTATGAAGGATTGTGCTCAGTGCTTAATCTTATTTTCCTGTCTTCCCCAGGATACTATGGAATTCATAAAAAATTTTCAGTCTGAAGCCCCATTAAAAAGAGGAAGTGTTTCAGCACAAGATGCATCTCTTCATGAAAGAGTAATGGCTCAGGTAACCCATTTCAAACCTTTTTTTTTTTTTTTTTGTCTTTCTTAGATATTCTGCTTTTGAAGTATAAATACCTAAAACCTTCACAGTGACTTTGTTTTAAAGTAAAAAAATTAAACTATGGCCATGAAGAGAAGATTACATTTTTGTGCTGACACATTAAGAGAGATTTCAAAATTATCTTTTCAAGTGTTTAGTTTAGATTGGAAGTAAGAAGAGCTTGATGATCAAAACCATGGGAATGCTAATTTGACTGAATATTTTATTAAAATTTTATTATTCTTTCCAGCTGCGAGCTGCTCTGTATGACATCCATGACATCTTTTTTGCAATGGAGGCATCAGAAAGAATGAATATTCTGCGTCATGATCGTGAAGTTCGTAAAGAGAAGATGCTCAGGCAAATGGTGTGTTATATTTAAGAGAATGTAAACTGTTTTAAGACTTTAAGTACTGAATCATTTTGCTTTTAAGAGATTCCTTTTCACCCAGTAAAAAGTTTTAAAAATCTAAATTGTTTAATTATTCTTCTGTATGTAGCTTCAAATTAAAAAAAAAAAAGAGGTCAGTACAGTAGGAGATTATTATGTTGAAACTTTTAATGTGTAGATGCATAAAAATTAGAATGAAAAACATGGTGAAAGTAATAAAAAGTCCTTAACAAAAATTTGTTTTGGTACACAACCCTTTTATATCTGATAGTATAAGGAAGAGCCTTTAATTTAAAAAAAAGAAAAAAAACCTTGAATTTAGTCTCAATGTGAACTTAGTACTGAAAACACTGTTGGTTTTGTTGTTTGGGTTGTATTTAAATTTTATTTCCTTAAGTAGGGGCAGGTCAGACAGGGTTAAGCTCAGTAATAGCAGTAACTAGTGTTATTCTTGTTTCTTTTGCCTTTTTAGGATAAAGTTAAGAGCCCAAGGGAGAGAGTGACACTTTCAACAGCTACACAGAAGTCTCTGGACAGGAAAAAGTACATGAAGTATGTGCAGTTCTCCCTTTGTGTGGTGATGGTGGGCGGGGTGCAAGAGGATGAGTAGGAGGCATTGGAAATAATGAAAAGAAGTTTTTGGGGTATCAGCTTCTTTGCTGACTAATATATCTCCTAGGAAAAATGAATAAAAAAACTGTCTTCAGGTGTGTGGTGTCTTACTAATAGTAGCTCACTCTTACTTTTAAGAGATGTCTTGTTTGTATGAGAGAAAAATGTTTGTTCTTAAGTAGTACATTTATGCTGTATTCCAGCAGTGAGCGCTTAGTTTATGGTTGATTTTGTAAATTGTAAAAAGTGCTCCCAGTTATTTTCTCAGTCTTTCTAAAGTGCCTACCAATAGAGAGATACTTGGTAGAGTATCTCTGGAAGTTTTTTGGGGGGATGGTAGTGGGCATTATCCTGCAACACAGTGGACTGAACAGTTGTGTTACACTTGCTTATGACTAAAAAGCGATAATCTGTAGTACTGCTGGCAGTATTACGTGTAGACTTGTAGATCCTGTTGTAGGTTTTCTCTTACTGTTTCTGTTGAAGACATAGATGATGATTTTATCATTTAAATATGTTTCAATACTTTTGTTTCTCCAGGGCTTCAGAAATGGGAATGCCAAGTAAAAAAATAATTATAAAACAGAAAACTCCTGAAAGCCGGTGAGTGAAGATTAATTGTATTAGGATGCTTTTAAGTAACTGTCTTATAATGATAGGTTCTTTTATCTGCATTGCTCATTTGCCCTTAGTCAGCTCAATTCCTGCCACTGTTATGACGGACAGGAATGAAATCTGATTTAGCACTCTCTGAGAAAGGGGTTTATTAGCTCATTAGAAGTTAGAAAAGGCTTATTTTCGTCAGAGTCAGTTCTGAAATTTTATCTTCAGAAATTACTTATTTATGGCCTTAAATCTGTATGCTCAGGTTCAAGGTTTTTCTCTGAGATAGACTATTGCTATTTCAGGATTCAGTTTGACATTACTTTTCTTAATACCCTTTACTTTGCAGTGTAATCATTGATATGCTTATCTTTAGAAACCTGTCAGAAAAGAAGTGGCTTTCACTTGTGAGGAAAAGTTCTTGCTTCTAGATTTTGTGATAGTTTAGATAACAGAAATTTCAGTGTTCGGTACTTGCTGTTCAGGAAGACAGCAGCCCTACTCATAAGAGGCCTGTCTGCACCATTTTCTAGTATAAAAAGTCAGACACCTGGCATCCCTTAAAAAGAGTTTTTATCTCATGCTCACCCAAAAGCTTTGAGGACATGCTGTCTACTAATGTAGTTCAATCTTCAATGACTACTTTAAGTGATTCAATCCTTTTTTTTCCTGTATGTTCTTATCAATGACTAGGAACAGAAGGCTCTATTGAGGGAGTTTTATCTGAGTGCTTTTTTGTTTCTTTGTTTTAAATAGCAGAAGTAGTAATCCTGTTCTGGAATTTTAATTCCTGCCGATTTTGCCTGTTTGTCATCTGCATTACAGAACCTGTTAGCTTTTCTGAAATTTGTTCTGTGAAACGTGATGCATAATTCCATATTCCTTATGAGATTTTTTTTTTTTTTTTAAAGTGGGAAAAAGCACTTTTTTCACTAGAAGTTTGTGTTTTAACAGCGTTCTTCAACCGAATCAAGGACAGAATGCCCCGGTTCATAGACTGCTTTACAGACAAGGGTAAGGGCACAGCTTGATTATAGTCTAAAGATGAAAGTAAATGCAAAGTGCAAGAGCACAGTGATTTTTGAATAATACTTACACATAATGGTGCAACTATTGTTCAAAGTAAAAATAATTACTTTTCACAGTAATTTGAGTGTAATGAAGCTTTGTTTTACCTTATACTGCAAGAAAATATTTAGTGTTCTCATCCTCTTGTGTATTGTCTCCATTTACACTGTGTTCCAACATTTCTATTTGTAACATTCATTCCATGAAGCTTTGCTTCCACTTAATGAAATATCTATATTTTTATTTGTAGACTGTAATGCCACAGTGTCTGAACTGAATCAATTTTTTGAATAGAGTTTTAAAAATCTGTTCATGGGGAGATGTTCTCCTATTTAATGTATCTACGTAAGCCATAATAATATCAATAGGAATTATACTCAGGAGGAGGCTCTGTGGGAAACTGTAAAAATGTTTTCATGCCAGAGTTTGTTAGTGTCTTTATATTTTTGGATACAGCCTTTCAACTTTGTTGCAAGTGACTTATTAACTTTTTTATATTTAATTAGAACCCCTAAGACCTCAATGAAGGGGGTTGAGCAAAATAGAAAGAAGGCCTCAGAGAGCAGAGTGTCTAACAAGGCTGTTTCAGGTGTGTAGAAAATTGGTGCTTGGATCTTATAGCAAATAAGTTACTAGCATCTAGAAAAAGGAAATGGGCGATATATTGTTTTCCTTTTCTTGTGCACCTGCTTTGCTATGTCTTTAACCTATCTCTTTAAACAAACATGCGCTGGTAACTTAACCATCCACTTTCAAATTCTGTAAACGTAGTATGTAGAATGCACTGCACAGCTCATTTGCTTTCACTCACTGGATGCCCAGTCATAAAAAACCTTGCCAGATATATTTACTGTAACTGCTGAGAAGCTAATAGTAGTCAAAATAGACTTGGGTTAGCATCTTAATGTCATTTGATTCTTAGTTCTGTACACACATGTAACTTGTCTTCAACACAAAGCCTATTGAAAGGACAGGAAGGACAGTGTCAGACTTATCAGTGGGTGTTCAGTCATCATACAGTCCTAAAATTATATATATTACTGTAGCATTTTACAGAAAGTTTGAGTCTTAATAATCCAATATTAAAAGTGGCATATTCCTATACTTATATATACAGATTACTGACTGGTTATGTTTTATTAGGTTTGATAGTAATGCCAAATCTCTCAGTTTTCAGCCTGTTCAGGCATGAAGAGAATAAAACACTAAAACATCTTACACAATTTCTATTTTTTAAATCAGATATTAAATTTAAGTGACAGACCTTAATTTATTTTCTTATATAAATTTAAATGGTTTATATGTTTTAAAACTGTTTAAAATCTTAATTGCACTTTGTTCTCAAAGGGGAGTTCCACAAGTATAAAAATTGGGGAATTTTGGACTCAGTAAACCAAATCTGTAATGTAGTAGGATTTCAACTGTTTTCCATAGTGATCTGAATTATCTTTATGTATTAAGTATCAAACCTTTCCTATAAAGAAAACTCTCATTTATTACACCCCTGGAGCAATGCTGGCAGGGAGTATCTGCAAGCTTTAGTGCAGAGTGTGCAATGTTTAAATGTGGTGTTTGGTCTTTTCATAGTACTTTGTGAAGCCAAGAGAAGTGGCCATAGAAGGACATATAGTAAAGTTATTTAACATTTCAGACTGGAGAGGGAAAAAAAAAGGGAAAAAAAAAGCAAACTATGAGTTTACAACCAAAGTTTTTCATTTATTGTTCTGTTGCCAATTCTTGTGGCAGTGCTGTCACGACCAAAGTGGAGCAAGGCAGTTGTTCAGTTGCACTCAGTGACACTACAGAAAAAGTAGTAAAAGTAGTAAATAATCTCTCTGAAATATAAAGAAGAAAACAAAGTAAACAATGTAATCATAGCAACCAGAAGTAGCCATTAAGGCAAGTTTTCATCTGCAAGTTTGCAGAAATGTGCCTGGTATTAGTAAATGAGAGTACTGAAGAACAGGGACAACAAAGCTATCAAGACCTCTGTGAGTTACGGTATTACAGAGGTTATAAGAGAGTAGTAGTGTTTATTACTGATTGGAGATTTGGATGCCATCCCCAGTCTCCTGTAATTCATGCTCAGCTCATAATGATCCACAGTGTTTGTTACATCTGCGTTTGGCATCAGACATCCAATTAACATGTTCTTTCTCACTCTTCTGTGTTAACAGTGTGTGCGGCTCTGCTAAGTCCCTGAATTTATCTTAGTCATAATTATCAAAGTTGTGGCAGTTAATACTTGGCGATGAAAACATCCTTTGGGATACATCCCTAAATTTCTCTTTGCCTTTCCTTATTGCTATTTGTTGAATATCTGGAAAGCTATTTAATGCCTTCTATAGTAGCCTTCTCGGAATTTAAAGCAGATGTGTCTATAACCAATTGTATACTGCCTAGTTTTGGTTGCATGACATAACCTCATTTGGTGTTTGGGCATCATGTCTTTTCCCATGAGGTAATATCAATACTTCCGTATGCTCCTTTATAAATAGGTGAGACTACTTGTACTAAATGAATAGAAATGTGTTCTGAAATTATTAGATGGGGAGCATTTGGCATGAAAGAAATAATCTGCATAATTTTGTGATAATGAAAAAAGCTTAAGATTAATACATTTAAATAAAACATGGTTTGCTTTATATATGGATAAAATGTGAATAGCTTGGTCTAGTCAACAGAGAGAGATGTATTTATAGCTGCAACTATACCAGTCTGATGTACTCCTAACCCATAATATTTTTATTTAATGTCTTCATTCTTCCCTGACTCCCAAATAAATTGTGCTTATTAAAGAGCAAAGGGGAAGGAGGAGGAGTAGAACAGAGCTATTATAAATACATTCAAATTAGACATGAGACAAATCCTTAGAAGAAAACAATAACTTACTCATCCAACTTTTTTTTTTTTCCATTCTTCTGATTGTTGTTTTAAATTATATCTGCAAAGTGCGTTGTAGCTTTAGTACCTCTCCAATTGATTGTTGTTTTTTTCTGGCAAGAAGGCATTTTGTTTAGGAATCAACTGGAGATCCTAAATTTAGTCTTTGCTGTTTTGTACTTCTTCAATCAAAATTTCTACACTAAAGAGAAAAGCACAAACTAATAAATGTGTAAGGAGTCTTATTTGTTTGTCTGGGGTTTTAAAAATTATTTTATATAGGACCAAGATGCTTAGTCAATGGCCTACAAGCTGTGCCAGGCAGAGCATTCAGTATGGTCTGATTGTGTTTGAAATAAGGTGATTGAGATCAGGCTGCTGCTACAGCTAAACCTATTCATTTCCTTTGTTTCTGCCCAGTCTGAGTAAGTGTTGTGGAAAAGAAATCTGGGGCATGAGGCATACAGAGTATTTGGGTGGCAGCAGCACTCGGCCAAGCGTGGTCCTTCCCGCGTGCCTGTGCAGGCTGAGCAGGGAGCAGGCTGCCCGTGTGAGATGGTGTGTGGAGGGTGCTGCTGTTCAGGCCAGCACTCAACATGTCAGACGTGCTGTAAGTGAACAGCAAGCAGGTCAGGTGTATGTCATGGGAGAGAGGCCTCACGTAATTGCTTCCCTTGCCACTGGAAAAGATTGGTTGATGATTGTATTCAGAAGGACTGTAACTGTTTTTAATAAAATCTGGCTTCTTCAGTTCCTTAGTCTAGATTGCTGGGGTTTTTTACACTTCCCTATACTGTCCTATTCTGTGAAAGTTTTATATAACTTGGAGTGCACTTGGGGAGAGTTAAGAGGTAGTGTTAAGTCACTAATAAAGCCTCATGCTTGTCAGCCTGGTTGTTTGTCCTACGAGATCACAGGTGAGCTGAAGAGTACAGCACTGGAGTGTTGGGCCAGCGAGAATGCCTTTTTGTGTAGTGGGAAACAGTGTTCAGATGTGAGGGATCCTGCTGTGGTAAGGTCTCTGGGCATTCCCAAAGCTGCTTTGCACTGTGCTGAATGTAGCCCTTGGACACCTGTAAGTAACCACTGCAACTCTGACACGGAGTAACTGAAGAGCCTGAAAAGGACTGGCACTTTGTCACATTCATTTAATTGCCTGGTAATTATTTATCTTCCATGGCTGTCTTCCATTTCCACTGCTCTGCACCATGTGGTAAATGTTTGCTCACATTGCTGGACACTCTTGATAACTGCCTGAACCTAATGAATGCTAAGTTGTGCTACTTTTAGCAGCCTGCAGTGCTAAAGCCTTATTACTGGAAGATACTTGTGCTACCCTTGGTAGAATATGGCTGCCTAAATATATATATATATATATGTACTATATTTGTTCCATGTGGAGAGATGCTGTTATTTATTATTATTTTCATAATTGAGCAGCTTTCTTTTTATAAGGGTTCTGCCTGATGATCTTATTCATGCCACACTTTTAATTCTGGTTGTGTATATGGACATACAGAAACCTACAGCTGTCTCTTGGTTTATTAATGTGGCAGCTAGGGAAAAGGAAAGAGTTATCTTAAATATTCGACTTGTGTTTTTTTGATTGATTGTTTGAAAGTAGTACATGGGGTAGTTAAACTTATCAGTCATTTAATCTTTGTCCTGGTGATGTGACAACTTTGAAAAATTTGGGAATTGTAGATGTTTTGAAGTAGCAGAAAAGAACATTAAATAGTTACTGAGGAAGTAAATACTATAAAATATTGCTACTTTCAAACCTATAGGTAGTTTTGTAAGACATTTTTTGAGTAACGTTATGAAAACTAATTTTGAAAGTAGCCAGTGAATATATAATACTGCTTGAAAAAAAAAATGGTCCTAAACTTTTCTGGCTATTTTTTGTTGGATAATCCTGTTATAAAAACCAGTACTGATTGTAAAATGGTAATGTTTTTACTTCATTTTTAGGAGCATCTGCAGGAAGAACCCAAAGAAAGAAGCCAAATGTTGTGACAATTTAAGACGACAACACTCACTGGGATAAAATGGCTGTTTTCTAATGATGGCATTCTTAGCACTAGTTCAAATATTGTATCTCCTATATCTATATTTAGAAATGATAAACATACTTTGTCATTTCCAGACAATGACACATTAATACAGTCATACTGAAGTAATAAAGGGCTATGAAGCTCTAATACTTGTGTAAAAATCGCATGTTGAATGTTGTTATATATTCATACTACTGTGTACATGATTCATAATCTTGTTTGTTTAAAGATCACCATAGGGCAACAGTAAGTTACTTTGTAATTTTTTCACACTCTAATTCTTGTCGGACATATGCTTTTTCCATTACTGAAAAGTGCATTTTCTGTGTATGACTGTGTGACAGTTAGGATGTGACAGACTGACACCATAAATAAGTCATGTGATACATTTTTAGCTTCATACCTTAAAGTTAAAGCAGTTAAGAAAGAAAAAAAAATTAGAATTAGTTCAAACAAAACAGGTCTTACATCAGTGAACTTGTCAGCAGCCTTTTTGGATGTACTTTCTCTATGAATGAGATTACCTCAACTTAAAATTAATGGCCTAAATGTTTTGCATTTCTGCTGAGTTGGACAGACATGGATCCAGATTAACTGCTGGGTGCACAAAGATACTTTCAATGACTATACCGAAACTTCTCATTTATACCTAGGATTTTTTTTTTCTTGCTGCTTACTGCATTTTTTTTTTTAAATGGAAACTACTTTTGGCCAAGATGAAGAGAAATGTATGTTCTACAAAAATTTCAGAAGGCAAGGTTTTAATTGTTTTACCCTTTCAGACTTACAAATGCTTGCCCGTAATAATAGTTCAGATATCTGATATATGTTTTGTTGATGACAGTCACAGTCTTTCTAAACAGTTTCTCTTCTACTGTGACCTAACAGGCCCTTGTACTGAAATGTTGAATTTGGGAGGGAGGGGCAAAAATCTCTACCAAATCCCAACAAACACACGCTTATCTTGATGAAAATCTAACATTAAAAGATCATGCTTATATTTTGCCTTGGTCTTCATCCTGATGAAGTCCTTATCCTTCAACTTGAGGGGAGCAGAAGTCTGTAACTTCTGTCTTTTAATGAACACGATGTTAAGATTCAAAGTCCTAACAGAGAAAAGCTTGACTAAGTCTTTGCGGGGCTTACTGTTTTGGTCTGTAACAGTAGTAGTAGAGAACTCACTACCAGAATGTGAAAGAGAGAATATTTTGTTGCTTTCCCAGTATTGATGCAATGCAACACCCTGACTTTGGAGGCTTTGGAATGTGTTGACCTGCATATAAAAGAAAAAAGACTGAGCGGAAATTTCATTGTGTTAAATAATCAGCACGAAAGAGGAACATTAATGGTGGGATGAGGAGAGTTCATGGGTGCTGATGAGGAGGGAATTGGCTTGCTTGCAGCCCTGGTTGTGGATTTTGTCTACCACCTAGTGTGTCCTCTTTAGCTAGTGATATGGTTCAAAACAAATGTTTTTATACCATGCAGTAACTTACCCAGATTGTATATTGGAAAATGTCAAAAATGCTGCCTAAACACTTTGAAGAATGACGCTGCTGAGTGGCTCTTTACAGTGGTGTTTATTTGAAAGCTTGTGGTGGGACTCTCCTAATGGTATAAATTTAGGTGTTGACACCCGTGGAGGACCTGCCTCCTTCATACAAATGCTATGGTTCTTTAAAATTTAAGATGTAATACAGAAAATGCCTGAGGCAAGCTTCCCACTCACCCAGTAGGCATCAAAGCTGTTTTGGTTCCCAACTTTTTGAGGAGTGGAAAGCATCTTGAGAGGGGAAAAATTTACCATGACGAGTAACCTGTGTCAGAGGTGACAAAATGTTCTGTTGATGTATCAATGCTAAAGATTGATGTTTTTAAAGGATGTTTTATGTGCTGCATTTATTAATAGCATAGGCACTGTGTTGATATAAAAGTAGATTAACCGTTAGTAAAAATGCTTACCTTCTGTTTAGGTTTCACTTCTAAACCTTTTACATTAAGCATGCTTCTACTATGTGTAATAAAACATTGTAGCACAAGCTTTTTTTAACTTTCACGAGGCCTTTGACAAGTGCCAGAATTTGGTTTTGTACTTGATGTTTTGTATTTATACAGATTTAATTTTATCTTTTTATTTTGTGTGGAATTGTAATATCATAAAAGTGTTATTTATTTTTGTACTTTTATTTCATGTTCACCAGTCTTGCTTTTTACTTAAAGCGTACTGCACGATAAACTTAAAATCTTTAAAATGAACTGCATTTCTTTTCTTTTTCCGAGTTGAAAAATCACTCGATGTACAATTAGGAAAAGGGAAACCCTGTGGTGCCAGGCACTTCACCTCCCACCGCACGGCACTTCGTACTCGTCCATGGAAAGTCGTGGCTGTGGCGTTACGCCCGTGGAGTATTTTACACAACACTCCAAAAAAAAAAAAAGAAAAAAGG